TAGCATGATGTTTCTAGGTCCTTTTCAGAACTGGAGGATTAATTTGGAACTGGTTTTAGGAGTCTGACTTATCATTGGCTAAAGAAGTGAAATCAGATGAGTCTGAAAAATGTACAAGATGTGCTGTTAAAAAGATGGTGTTTGGAATGATCGCATTTTAATGTACTTCGATAAAATGCAAACTTTTTTTTTACTTCACAGTATTTTGTAGATTTGAAACTCACATGTGTTAATTGTATTGGAAAAGAAAATACACAACAGGAAAATATTCATGATTCATTTTGTTTTATGATCTTTTGTGCAACTTTATCAATTTAATATTTTGTAATTCTGGAAAAAAAATATTTGTTTCCTATTCCTGTGATCATCGGTTTACAAAGAGCATGCAGTAGTGTCATTTTGTTTTCCATTGTAATAAAATTCTCCACACCTAAAAATGTGAAAATTCTAGAACTGAAATGACCCATGTAAGATGACATGTTTTGCAGGTTTAGCATAGCCACCTTAACTAAAAGGTTAGAAGTTGTTAAAACTCGTACTGAGAAAAAGGAGAAGCAGACAGTTTAGCTAGAATTCAGCTCTCAAGTCTTGAGAAAGTGTTTGCTCTTGCTGTGCCCTTCCAGTATCTCTTTTTGTCTCTGTTACCTAGGTTTGACTGGCAGACTGAGTTCTGCTCTCTGGTTTGGTCTTAACAGTTTGAATTTCAACAGCGGATGGCAATGGGTTGGTGGTGCTCCTTTTCGATACTTAAATTGGGTTCCAGGTAAGGTTAAATATGTTGCTACTCAGTTTAAAAGGCAAAACTTTGGTCATCATGTAACATATTTCTTTTCTAGTACTCTATTCTCCTGCAATTACTGAGCTTGTTTTGATGTTGAAAGATTGTGACCGTGGCTATAAACACTGTGAGTAATGGCCCTTATGCTAGGGATACACACTGGGCTTAATTTACTATTCACAATGGAAATGGTAGCCTCAAAATCCAGAGGAAAGTTTTAAAAGTCATCTGTTTACATTTCATTTGCATATCTTCTTAATTTAATTTATTTCTATATGGATACAGAATAAATCTGATGCTATAGGTGTCTTCATTTGTGAGATTAGACTGGTCAGTGTATGTATGGGTTTTTTTTTAAATTCCTTTCCTTTCCAGTTTGTTTTGGTTATTTGCTTGGATTGGATTGGATTTTCATTTTCAATTGGGATTAACCTACCCATGGCAGTAACACATATCAAACTGAATATGTTAGGCTAGTTACTTTAAAGCAAACCCAGCTACTTCACACCTGTAGTTGCAATGTTGAACTCCGGTGCCATTATTAAAAAGCTGGTCTCCTATGCCATCTGTATACATGGTGAAGAAGAGGTGCTTTTGCAGTTTACTATTCAGAGTGCCAATGTGAAGGTGTCTTTTTGCAGGACCCCTGTTTCCTTGCACTGGCTATTCAGGAAGCCTTTTGAGACTAATTTAAAGTAGATGTCTGAAGTTATGCAGTGTAAATACTCCTCTGTATCTTCATTGAGCATGTTACATGTATTTAATCTGCAGTAACTATAAATGCATGCTCCATCGTATCATCCAGTGGCTTCCTTGTGTAGATAAGGCCAAAAGCACATTTTCTGTGGACAAACTTCTTGAGTAGGTAAGCTTTGAAGAGTGAATTGAACTACTTCATAAATAGCTCTCCAATGGTGCGAGCACGCAAGGCAAACAGATGGGCTGAACTGCAAGTTGCTGTGAAGGTATTTATAGGTCTGTCATCCAAGTGCACTGATGAGGATCTGCATGTAATGAAGAGTGGGGGAAAACTGATTGTGAGGTGGAGCCAAAGTGGCAAGGGGAGCTGTTCATGGTTGTTAAAACTCTCAGTTGTCCTTTAAAGAATTAGCTGGGTTTTGGTGTAACCAAAATGGACTCCATTTATCTTTAATTCCTTATGTTTCTTTATTTAATTCGAAGGTAATACTCTTAAGTCCATGTAACCTATTTTACATTCGTGCTATCTCCTTCATGACTTTACTTTGGTCAGCCTACCTCTATTTCATCCCCATTACCCTGGATCTTCAAGAACTGGCTGTTTTCTACTAGTATATGTTAATAGAATTTGTGGAAGCTTCATATTCTTCCATCTCACTAGCCCTAAATAAGTAACAGGAAAACATGGGAAATAAGTTATCAACATTTAAACTAAAATTATGCTGGTTAGGCATTTGGAAGAGCTAACTGCCAACAGCTGAACTTCTTTTGTACATTAAAACAATTTAAATTTGTATTTTTGAAGTAAGCATATCTTTTCCTCCTATGGGAAGAAGATATAACATGACTGCAAATATAAGACTAACTGTAATCTAAAGTAATGAAATCATAATGATATAGGAAAATTTTCAGTGAACAATCCTGCACACTAAAAAATGCTGTTTTGTGGTGTTTATTGCTGAGCAGTACTGACACCTGTTATGTAGTATAGTGACATGTGTTCAGAAATGAAAGAAAATCCATGTTAAGTTTAATCACATTAGACCAGGTCTTGAAAAGTTCATCTGGTTTATTGCAGAAATTTGTTCTGTTCTACAGGTTCTACTTTTCTTCTAGATGTTCCTGTTAATGTCAATGCTAATCTTCAACTAAAAATACCCAAATATCCTGCTATTGCCATATTGTTTAGACAAGTGGACAAGAAGTTCACATTAGTGAAATAATTACTTATTATTTTTCTGTCTTCACTGTTGTACTAAGTACAGAATTTGACTAGCTTACTGAAGAGTTTTTTCACCTAAAGATTGTGCTCTGGAGTTTAGACATTCTTTATTTAGAAAGGGGAAAAACCCAGACGAATTAGGTGCACTGTAATACCTTCCATCAAGACTTTGAACCTGTGAAGACGCTGTTAAATTGTGAACTGGATAAATATCTCAACTTGTGGTTGCTGTGAAAACATATCTCTTAAGGGAATGAACTGCCTGATTCAGTCTAAAGGACTGTGGAGAATCACAATTGTCTGTATGTTAATGTATCTTATAATTAAAGCATGGAACAGATTAGAATGTGAATAAATGGGGGAGTAACCATGATGTGCTTATACTTTGTTGAGTTTTTTTTTTTTTTTTTTTTAAAAAAGGACATCCTTCTCCAGAACCTGGAAAAGTCTGTGCAGCATTAAATCCTGGCAAAGGTGCTAAGTGGGAGAATCGGGAATGCAATCAGAAACTTGGCTATATTTGTAAACGAGGAAATGCTACTTTAGAATCTTTCATTATTCCTACAGGTACGCTTGGTAAAAAACCCTCAACAAATGATTAATGACCAGTGGTTTTTATCTGTAATTCTAATAGGTATTTGTTATTGCACATGGTAAAACAAAGCAAAGGTCTTTGCAGACTGTGGCTTGACCAAGATTCCCTGTAAAAGTGAACAGACTGTACTTCCTTTTTGTTCTGGCCTCCTTACTTCCTGTATAGTAATCTTTCTTCAGTAGCTTTGAGTTCTAAATTGCAGAAACGGTGGAGTTCTCTTTTCCAAAAACAAGCAGAAATGTCAGATTTTGTTCATAAAATAAAACCAGAAATAATTTAATTTTTTTTTTTAAAAGATGTAATTATCTAAAGCCCCATGTACTCAGTGAAACTAATCTATTTCTTCTTGCGTTCATTTTTACTACTTATGACGTAAAGTAAGTTTGCCAGTGCAAGCTGGGAGTGGACTAGAGGAATTTTTAAAAATTCTTTTGAGAGAATGAAATAATTTTTATATATATCTATATT